AGAAATGCATTTTTAGGCGATTTCATCACTGTGTGACCGACCATCAGAGGATACTTCCACAAACCTAGATGGTGCAGCCTTCTACATACTACATACCTGTAGCCACTGTTGCATGTGCTCTGATGCTGACCAAAATGTTATGCAGCACATGACTTTACTAGGTTTCCACATGGTAACTGTGAAGTAGAAGCTGGCGATAAAGAAGCAAACAAGATAGAAAGCTCACAGCCTAGCAGAGGGAGACAGACATGTCAACAAAGGGACAGACTGTCACAGATACTGACAGAAATCTACATAAGGGACAGCAGGAGAACAAAAAAAGGCACAGTTAAATCACCTTTGTGATTTAGAGACTTCAAATAGTTATCCTTCACGTGTTTTCCAGATATACTGGACTTTTTTTAATGCCCCACTGTGCCTATTAAGGGAAATCCATAATTGAACAGAAAGAAGACTAGAAAGAAGACCTATAATCTCAGTTCTAGTACTATCTGGTTGTATAAACCGAGACACATAAATATAGACACATTATATATAACATAAAAGCCAGGTTTCTGTGTAAATGTAAAAGGATAAAACCATGCAAGTATTAATTAGTAAAGTTCATAAACATCCCAAAGAAATTATTATTTAGATGTTTGCAAGTCAGTTCTTAAGTGTTGTTCTTCCTTCCTAAATATCTTCTAAGGACAATGTTCTTACAAATATATACAGATCAGCTTAACAATGAAGCGTTAAACATTCCGCTTACACTAATAACAAGGACATCATGTATGCTAGGTTGCTCTTCACTAAGCTNTATCAAAATCTTGGCAAGAGATGATATGTATTGCTGAGTTTAAAAAATTATTTCATTATTTACTGAAGATAATGATAAAGAGATGATATGTATTGCTGAGTTTAAAAAATTATTTACTTGGTTAAATGCATTAACCAAGTAAATTTTTCTTCATACCAGGGATATGGGCATCAAAGTACTGCAAAAGATGAATGCTGTATATGACCCTTACACATTATTACATTTACCTACTGGACCTCCAAAACAACTCAAGTCATTAAATAAAGGTTTCGATGTTACACTGTCACCATTTACTTCTCTCTGACAGAGCCAAAACACAGTTTTAGGCCGATGCACTACAAATACACTTTTAGGCAGTAGCTTTTTAATAATTTTTTAATGTGTAAGTTTGCCCTTTTCTATCAAAGTCACATTTTCTAAAGCTACTTAAAATTAAAAAACTCATTAACATCAAGTCAATGTTTCTTTCCTTCTGATTTCTGATTCACTCCTTCCGTCAGGCTTCTAACTGAGGTCCCATTTCCCTTTTCCCCTCCTCTGAGACAGGATTAGTCTCCAAAGTCACTTACTATGTAAGACCTTGAAATGAATGTTGAACTATACAACCAAAGCGAGATCAATGCTTTAAGAACACATCCTTCCCACATGTCTGGGAAACAGATTTGATACACAAGATCCTTAAGTTCATTTTACAGATTCTGAAACCAAGTTGTTCAAAAGGTGTATTCTGAAACCATGGTTGGTATAGCAAATAAACATATCAAAACAAAGAAAAACTTCATCCAAATATTTACACTTAAAAAAGACATTTAAAAAATAGGCTACTTATTAAGTGTGCTTGAACAAACCATGTGTGGAATTGAATTCCATTCATTATGGAGTTAGTTCCTGCTAAATACTTACTGATGCTATAGTAGACCCCTGGCATCTGAGGATTTAAGAGTTCTCGACTGTTTCCAATCTATACTAAAAAATAAAACATGACAAATAATAAATTCTACATTTCTGAGGCACTAATTTGAACCTCAAAGGTGGAAGGGCTGGTATGAAAAGCAAATTACTTGG